AATTTTTCTCAAAATACGGTATGTGTGCGTGTAATAAACGTTAATTTCATGACAAAGGGACAAAGGGCAATGATTATTCTTTTAATTGAATATATATGTAGCTTGGAAAAAAAACGCCGGAGATGTAGCGTGGCTCTGATGATTTTTTAAAACGATGATAATAACGAACGTGTTCGGTACTACAGTTGGTCGTAATGTTATTCTACGAGTTTAATAGCGGCCAGTTTTACGCGACATATCGCGCCGGCCCTGCTAGCTCCCTTCGTCGCGTCGAATTTAACGCATTCCACGCGCACGGCGACAGTGCGATGTGCGATCCTCTTTTGGCGCGGCCATCGACTAAGTGGAATGAGCGTGCGTCGCACCGCAATTGCATAAAACGCACCGCGTCGCCACAGGCTTCGTACAAAGTGACGTTTGCGATCGAGAAACGACCGGCTCGAAACGCGCATTCTAAAATTCTAGTGGTTAGCTAGGATCGTATAAGCGCGGATAAATAATTCGAGAAAGAGTTGCATGACGCCCGCTGAAAGTGGTACGTCGCTTAGAAAATGAAAAATGTGCAGGTCGCGTATCCGGTCGTGAGAATTATAAAATGTTTACGGAAAATTTGCGCGATCGGGAAATGTAAACAGTTCTCAGAAATCCGGCTATGAGTTCCCGTTTATCTTAATTGTCGAGGGTTCGCGGTAAATAAATTAAAATTAAAAGAAACTGATCGCATTTGATTAGCATTCATGCATGAATATGCGTGATACTATGTAAGATATTCAGGGTAAAGAATCATTCATGTGGATCTTTTGCGGAATAAACTTCTAGATACATCACCCTTCACCTTTTTAAATATAAAGAAATTGAAAAATAGTTATGCTAACGTATTGTACATTAATATTTAAAACAAATTATTAAAATATTTTTTCTATATATTTAAATAGGATTGTAGATAGTTTTTAGGAAACGCAGGTACATTCCTTAAATTATATGACATATTTGACACATATTTGAGAAAGAGAGATGTGACGCGAGAATAAAGGATTCAAATTTAATAACGCAAATTCGCGTGATTTCAGTCGCTTTTCGATAAGATCGTCGGGGAATGCGAGAAGAGTTCCGTATATACACCGTGTTGAATTTCTAGTCAGTGACTCTCGCGGTCGTCCTTCTATCCGTTCCCCACCATTTCTCGCCGCTGCATGCCACGGCGAGATTCTAATGCCGGCACGGTCGCCTTGGCCGTCGCGGAGATCACTGACAGCGGGTTCGGGCTTGAGCTGCGAGTCGCGTTGCGCAACTTTCGCGCGAAACCGAAGGTTCCTACAGCTCTAACGGGAGGTACTCCATTGCCTAACCGCCAAATACCAGCTACGAAACTCATCAACATTCAAGATAAGAGTAACCTGTCGCCTAGCCGTTTTAAGGTCGCGGCCATGAATAAGAGACACGTCCAAGTTCGAGCGATTATAAGATAGTTATATACGCCACGTAAGTCGGTTCTACATATCATACTTATATTAAATTCGCAACGTTGAGAAAGAATGAGAGAAATGGAAAAATTGATGTAATAGCAGGATATCTATCATCAAAAGATGCCCGAAAACCGGAGAAAATACTTCAATATTTAGATTCGTAATAGAAACACAGAAATAGCTTATACGAATCGTTCGATGCTAAAAAAAAGCATAATTCCGCTAAACTTATAAATTTCCATTTAATTCAAAAATGAAAGAAATATGTTTCGAAAAATATCTAACATATCACTAAATATTTCTTTGAAATTATATTGAACTGTATTTAGTCGCTTCGTGCGAAGCAGAAACTTTCAGCAGAAAAGAAGATACGAATCTTTAATGTAACGCTCCTTTAACAACGTGCACGAATGTATAAACGCGCGGGAACGTTCCGAGTGAACGAGAATCATTGGAAGGAGAAAAATGTTATCCCCGCCTGACGGCGCGACGCATCGCTTAGGCGAGCATCGAAGTCTCTGGTCCGGCGCGGCGCACCGTGCACCGGAGTCCGGATCGTACACACGCGTCGCCGTCGACTCGTCCATCGCTGCTCGCTCAGCTCGCTGTAGCGCAGGAAACGTTATACGAGCGGCGCGCGCGGCGTACCATTACGATCTCGCGTTAGCCCGGATTCCGTTTGATCGGCAACGCGGAAAATGCAAATAAAAGCTAATACTCCGTACGCACGATACGCGGAGAGACGTTTACGTAACGTATCGACGATCTCCCGACTGGCGATGCACGCGCATGAATCTTCTTCTCTTCCCGTCAAGGATAACGATGTTTATCATCGCGACGGGCAAGCCGCGCTTGCCGCACGAACGAAAGGGCTCTAAGCGACGTGTGTCTAATGAGTCGATTTATACGCGAGCCGTTAAATTCGAGGGGCGATGAATCACTTGATTGGACGCCGTCGCATTAATTGAACGGCTGCATCGGTCACGCGCCTCGAGGAAAAAAAATTGCGATTGTAACGAAGTATCGAGGTAGCCGGAGCTTTCGGAATGACGCTAATTGTAAATTAAGCTGAAATCGCTTCCGTATAATATAAATGTTTCATTAACATATATAATTAATGATAAACACTGGCCAAGAGAAAGGAAAAAAAAACAGAGAGAGAGAAAGAGTAATTCGTGCACCTGCGACAACGGTGATCGTACAGAACCAGTAACAGGCCATCGACACCGCGTTTTGCGCATCATTCGTGGTCTCGTGAGCGCAGGAACCTGACGCAAAACAAGAATCAAAAGTAGGGAGACGAGGAGAGAAGTGACGGGAGAGCGAGAGAACGCACAAAAAAGAGAAAAGGAATAAAGGAGGAGCTGCCCCGGTCACTTTCCTAAACCAGTTTTAGGACTACATTCGGCCTCCACCTACTACTCACTATACCGTTGTAAAAGTACCACCCGTGATCGACCTCGACTAGACCATCGCCCGAGGACTAATAGGCCCGAACGAAAAATCAGCAGTGAATTATGTAACTAAACTGTGCAGCGACGACTCGCTGAGGCACGCGATTTTCACGCAAATTAGTCAAACCTCGGTTTATCTTTACGGCCATTGAGAACGACGAAAAAGTCATTACGCACGTAACGACTAACGATAACGATAAGTGCATTTGGGGACGTTGCGACGCAGGTAAACGACGTATCGTAAAAGTAATATCGTGACAAATCTCGTTAATACCGATTGCGCCAATTGTTGTTCACGGAATAAACTCCCTTTCCGAAATTCTCTGCGGTATGTCGCAAACTCGGTCGACCTTGGAGCAACTGCGTCGATAGGCGGATCGTCGTGTATACACATCCGCGACACGGACAAATTGCAATTGTACTTTACGACCGTTCACTCACTATACCGTTCCTCATCGGCGCGGCTGACGCGCGGAAGGATGACCGTTGTTTTCGACGAAACCGTTCGTACGACGTAAACGTCATTATGCAATCGCGCGCGGCGTTCGTACACAAAGTGGCAACTCATATAATTAACTGCACGTGGCGTGCACATCAGGTATACGCGGACAAGTTCGCCGACTGCCAAAGGTCACCGTTACTAAGCATCCAGCGGCAGATCGGCGACGAGAAATCTCTTTTTTCTTCCATATTCTAATCGGCTGATTATGTCAGGCCACGATGAAAAACGTGCGGCAAATGAATTACCATTGAGAAATATTACGACGAGATAAAGTGTTCCCGTGCGACGCAGCAGCCGCCGAGAGAAGGGTGTCGCGAATCATTAAGAGAGATAACGCCCGGTTATTTTTTACTCGAACGCGATCGAAAAGAAGGGTCGCTATCGTGAACTGTCGAATTCGCGGAGACCGCATAATGAGCCGAAAATGTACACGCGAGTAATTAGCATAATGCGATTCACGAAAGTAAAAAACTTGGCAAATGCGTTGCGCGCGATAACGTCCGGAACCGAGGTACACAAATTGCAATCGCACCTGTAGCCAAAAATACGATCGCACCTGCGGCAGAAGTGTAACATTTTAAGACACTTTTTCTCCCTCTCCCGCTCTTTTATTTGCTTTCTTGTTCGGCAGGTATACGTCGTAAAGAGGGTACGAGAGAGAGAAGCCACAGAGTTGCACTTGTGCGCCCCGGTCGTTCCGCTTTATCGACGGCCTGCATATTGTGGATTAAACTGTCGAGATCGGTATCTTAATTTTACACGGCAGCGGCTTACGCGACTCCATAACGATCCGATAATCGACATATCAAATTGCTGCGTACGATACAGCACCAAAAAGATGAAGATAATTGTCTTGTGGCTTATTAATGCATTCTCCATTTATCCTCGTAATGAATGCGTCGTATATATAGGTACGCGAAAATCTTCGCCGCGATTTAATACGCACTTCGGAGATCATTATCTCTCTCGTGCGTGCATATGCAAAAATTCATAACGCAAGACCGAAATATGATTATATCGATAATTGTAAGATAACATTACGCGCTCCATAATTCGCTTGATTGAATTAATTGGTTTAATTTGATTATGCTGTGACAATGCCATTTATTTTACCTCTGCGTAAAGAAAGTCCAAACATGAAGTCGACTTTATTTCGACAGAATTCTGATTTTAAATCTATTCACGGATGTATTAAAAAATTAAAAAAAAAATAGAACAATGCAAATATTTTCTAGAAAAAAATGTACTTCAAACTGACCCAAAAAGTTGTCAATTAAAAAACTATAGCAAACGATGCAAATATTTGCTAAAAAAAAATGTACTTCAAACTGACCCAAAAAGTTGTCAATTAGAAAACTATGGCAAACTTGAGATACTTTAAATATTAGTAACTCCAATAAACAAACATAATTTTAAATACATACTAACTTCAAGAAACAATTTAAATAGAACCGGTATAATTTCGACGAATTCTACTTCCCATAGCGCAAGGGAAGATGGACGTTAATTTAACACAAGTGTAGGAAACTAAAATCGCCGAAATTACGCCGGTTCTGTTTTAATCGGAAATCAATTTACATTGATCCTTGTTAACGATGAGGCTCAATGGCTCCGAGCTGCCAAGCGGGCTGTCCTTGCCACTACCGAGAGGCGGACTTTTGCTGAGATGCTGCGACTCCAGTAACCGCAACTGCTGCTGATGCAGTCGGTTCTTGATCAGAAAGATCTTTGGCATCGTGACTTGACGTCGGGAGCGATGCACTACGTTGTCACTTTGCACTACCACTACATCGAAGTGGTAAGTGAGCTGCTCCCCTGCTCCGCGGTGTAGTCAAGATCGCGGTCGTGGCACAGCGAGCAAGAACACGTTTGGATCGAAGCAAAACACGTCAGTACGGTCTTGTACACAACAGTGTCATACTCGAGAGTACTCAGTAAACGAACGGTCACGACGGCGAGTAAACGATCACGACGAACTTGTATCAAATCCACCTGTTGTGGTTTCGGTCACGATGATTCATTGTTACCTGTCTCTGTCCCTTTTTCACGCCGACGAGCGATTATTCACAAGGATCGGCGTGGAGATCAACGCAGGATAATTCTATGTCGGATTTTGGGACGAACCTGCACGGACAGAGACTTTTCTTGCAAAAAATTCCGACGATGGATTTACTGGTCGCGCGCGAGAGGTTCATCGGCGTCGCGAAAAAACAGGGGCCAGCTGACTCGGTCCCCGATACGTGATTGGAGTGTCACTCGAGACCGAAACACTGGATATCCGACCGGTATCCGCGTGCTCCGGCGCTGGGGTCCATACGCGTCTATCACTTCCCTCACTTGATGGATTTACAGTTATGTTGAGAGCGCCTCCGTGAACGGGCACCGTGAATCGAGAAAACTCAACCGCACGGCCTCTCGTGAGCTACTGAGTCCGCAAGTAAGTGAACTCGGTAGTGCGGGCCCCGTAAGCCCCTCTTTCTTCCTCCCGTCCACATCCCTGCCTCTTACTCCCCCCACGCCTCGTCGCCTATCGGCTGAGTAAAATGTGCGCGGACCCCGTTGACTGTCCCCCACCATCCACTGGCCCTCCTCCTCGTCCCACCATAGGGCCTCACGAGCCAGCCAGCGGGACTATTCGATCGCAGGTCTACAGTCCTCGAAGATGAGGCTGCTTCTGACGCGCGCATGCGCATAACGGAGCATCGTACCTTGGATGCCGTGAGCTCGCTTTACAATCCCCGTTTTCTTTCTAGTTAAGGGACTGCATTGTTTCCTTCTTCCTCTTTTTCTAGGGGAACTAGTTGTTCCTGTCGCCGGTTGCACCTTCTGATCGAATTAACGTTCTACTGTTGAGCGCGTTTCCGGGTAATCAACTCTCTTCTTCCCGCACGCCTTTCCTTCTTTCTTCGCCTGGAAACCTTCCACATTTTTGCCGAAAGCCGTGAATTAAGTAACCGGAACTTGTTTTTATCGGCTTATCCTGCTTTTTACACTTATTACATCGTTTTAAAACAAGTTTCCTTTTTTGTAACAAAACATGTATATTCAAGAATAAAATAAAAATTGTGAGTGAGTGAGAGAGAGAGAGAGAGAGGTGGAAAGAGGGAAAGTAAAAAAGTTAATTTTATCACAGCGTATTTTTAAATCATCATATTTTTACTGCAAAAAGGAATATTTATATATTTAAAGGAACTTTATATTCTAAAGCATTGTCTGAAAAAACTGATTCTCAGCAAAGAAAAATACATAGTTTTCGAGAGAGCGTCGAAACTTTTCAAGACCGAATATTTATTTCAATCCGAACGGCGACATTGAGTTATGTTCACGGGTCCAACATGAGTTATCTTTCGATCTTTACCGAAGATGACTAAAAAAAAATTTTCGAGAGCGAGAACGTTTACGATGTTGCGACCCTCTTCACGGGAGAAGTATTCTCTAGATGAAATCTCGGGACGTGATCGAAACGCCTCCAAGATTTCTTTTCACGATTTTGAAGAACTGTACACATAGATACATATGGTACGATAAAACTCAACATCGATTGACAAAACCGATTGTAATTAAATTTCATACATAATAATTATTGGAATGCAAAATAAATTACGATCTGACAAAGTTTTTCGCATTCTTAAAAAAAAATTAAATTCCTCCGATTGTGTACTTCTTAGGTAAGGTGTAAAGGGCAGGTAGAGCAAAGTGAAACGTTTTAAAGAAGAGATTAGTGCTTTATTTATCTTTCAGATTTCTCTTTCTCATCTCTTTTTATCTCTCTCTTTTTTCATCTGTTTGCTGGTCATGCATAAAACATATCCTTCGCGCATTGCAACGATAGAACACGAATCTTCGGTCGATTTAAATATACCTGTTAATTAAGCTACAAACGTAAATACGCTAACAAGAAAAATAACGTTGCGTTTCGCACGTTTTCATTTCTTAACCTTGTTTATAATCTTCTATGACGAAAGATTTCTTTTTAGAACCTGTACAATTATTAATGCTACGCTCATTTTCTTAACAGTATTTAAGTCATCAAGATTCGTTAGTTGAAGCCGTTAATAATGAGGATGACTGATAGTCCTTGGCATTGGACAAAAACATTCCGACAACTCTAAATGATGTGATCAAGAATGGCAGCACGTGTAAAATAAATTATGCAATAACTTTACGTAAGATTGGCGTTACATATACACATGTATATACATAGAAATGTTTTTAATACTTCTTAAGATATAGCGTGTATTTTCAAACAATTGATTTGTATTTCTCCCGACGCATATATCATTATGTAGAAAAATGATGCGCTATGACAGGATTATATCTCCCAACATATTTCCCACTGAGTTCCGCGAATTAATAATTACCAACACATTTTCCCTTTTTTGCTGCAATCTAATTATAATTATGAGTATGATTGCACAAATATCAAATTAAGCAATGACGAATTAGGTATGTTGATTCAATTTTTTTTACTTTCACTAAAATCTTGCTTTATTGAGATATGTGTGGTCCCGTCACATCTTTAACAATTCTTATTTGAGAGAGATAAATGTATCCAATTATATGTTATAATTGCATATCGTTATTATAAAAAATTACTAAATATTCCTAGGTAAAAAAGTTAAATTTTTTAAATATTTCCTATTTAATAAAATATGTATCAAAGTGCAATATGTGCAGAATACTCTTTTATGACGCTTAAAAACTATGGGATTATTTTCAGTATTCATGTGTGTTCTCAAACTTATGTGCCTGAGAATTAGATATGTCCTTTGGTATACAACCGAAACAAAAAAAGAACCTACTTTTCCTTTTTAAAAGTGTCTAAAATAACTAGTACCGTAATCCTTTTTTTATCACAAACGTAACTGTTGTAAATATAAAAGTAACAGCTATCCTATAGCCTTTTCAAAACCCTTGCTTCCAGCTTTTACCCTTCTTTTATGTGATTATTCTGCAAGACATCCGAAACAAAGAGATATTGTAATTCGATTTAAAGGATAATCACGAGAAAAACATCCGTCAGGTAGAATAACATTCATAATTCTCACAAAAAAGAAAATTGCACATGTCTGGAAACGTGTATAATATCATCACGATAAATAAAATTACTTTCAGTTAAAGGATAATTATTCACATATAAATTATCCGTCTAGCTGTTATTCAAATAAATTTTCTCACTCAATAAAAAGTTCAAATAAAAAAAAATAACTCTAGTAATGACTATTATTTTCCAGTCATGGATAATGAATATTTTTACGCCCCCCCCTCTTTATCGCTCAGATTAGATTACGTCCACTGTATCCTATGGGAATTGGAATCATGATTCGAACGCCGCGTCTACGACTCGCGTGCACGGCACGGACACGCAGTTTCGCAGTCACTCAGGCGCGATGCAACGCAGGTATCCAGCAAGATAGAGGTATCCCGCCCATACGCGTCTTGCGAAATCATGTGTCGTACGTCGACAGCCAGCACTAGTTGGTCGTGGTCGTGATCGTAATCAAGAGTCAAAGTCAAAGTCAAGGTCGGGATCGAGGCGAGCAGAGAAGCACTTATGCAACATCGCACGCGTTCGCTTGCAGCCGTTCGTGCAAACGTTTTACGGTCAGGTGGGGGGAATTGCTGCAGCCTCTGGACGGGCTATGCCAGCTAATGCCACTAAACGGGGTACGGTGCAACTGTTACGTATCTCCCGACGAGGAAGTGTGCGAGCGGCGACGATCCGATATCGCAAATCGCGATTGCATCAAGTTTGACAAGTACATAACCCATTATTTTTCGCGGTCTGTTTTTCTTTATTCAACACCAAGTATATCTTGACGAACACCTCTTACGACGGAAAAATATTCTGATAAAAAAAAATTTTTTTTTTCATCTTTATTTTACAATTCTAAAGTATAAACGACTAGGTATGCAAAGACTAATACGAATCGCTGACCGTTTCGGAACGACTGTTTAAAACAATAAAAGTTCGCAGGTAGAGATGGTTCACGCGTCGAAATTTCTTCCGGAGCAAAACACTTGGTCTAACACACGCGCAGCTACCTGCGTCAGACTGGATAAACTGCCAGACGGAATTGCTCAAAACCATTGGAGTCTCATTCGATCCAATTGGTTGTCATTGAGGTCGAACTAGGAATACAGGAATATAAATGCTTTATATTCCTAAAGGGATCCTTTCTTTATGTCCAGCAGCGTGCCAGCCCAGCGACCAGCGTGACACCGATCCAGAAACTATCTGAGACTAAGCTAATAAATTTTTTACGAAGTAGAGAAATAATGATAACGTAACCAAGGGATAGCTTCATCCGGAAGAACCGGTAATTTATGGGCGGTAATTCATCGGACCTATTCTTATGTCTTATTTTACCCAAATGCATATTAGGTATTCACGGGAGAGTCGGCGAGTCCGGTTTCCGCCATGTTTTCTCTTTTCGCACTTCCCCAAAATACGTGTGCATAGCACACATTCAGCAAACTCGAGACAATTTCGTAGTACAAAATCTCCGTTTCTCAAAAAGTATAAACATTTTTATAAAAAGTTTAAAAAAAAATCCTTTGTCTACCCGGCAAGTCTTTTTAGCCCTCGGATTCGCATTATTTCGAATACCTTGGGTTAGAAGGACGCCGTTTTGGAGACCGAAGCGAGGTGAGTCGCGAAATCGCGGACGATCGCCGTTCCGGCGCGTTCGCGACGTTAATTTCGCCGTCGACGTGGAAATCGCTTTAGAGATAGAGAAGGTGAAGCACGGTCATGGGAAGAGAGAGACCGGCGAGGCGAGCGGCCGCGACTTCCTCCGCCGCGCCGACGCGCGGCGGAGCGCGCGCAAGAAGCGAGTCAAGTTCGCCGGCGGACACACTCGCACAACGAGCGCGCTCGCGTGTACAGACGTACACGTATACCTGCGTAACCGCCGCCGCGACGGGGACCAGGTAACAGCGTTCCCGTGTTACCGGTCCACGGCCGCCACGGTAATTTATTTAATGTAAGCGGTATACACCGTCGCACACGCGTCCACGCTCGCGCGCGCACTCGCACCGAGCTCCCGCACGTACGCAAAAGTTTCCTTCGTGGAGAGACCAGCGGCACAGTTATCGCGTAATGGGTCCGTGCTTTTCTCTAGCTATACTTTTCTGCACGCTTTCAACGGATAAAATAAAAGTAAATGTAAATAGAGATTCGTAATTTGCGGAAAAGGAAGAAAGATAAAAAAAAGGCAAAAATTAAAATATAATTTTAATTCTAATTTCATCGCCAGGTAGAGGCCGCAACCCAATAATAATACAAAAGAAGATAAAGAAATAATAATTAATAATAAAGAGATATCTATCTCTTAAATGCGATGTTTATTGTTGTATCTCATAATCTTTAAATGATAATGATGGCCTATATCTTTAAATGATGTTTATTGTTGTATCTCATTTTTGCAAGCATAAAGAATCTGATTATTGTTGCGGATCGTCTCCTCCTTCTCTTCTTCT